ATCGAACCGTCCGAGCGCAACCGACTGCGGCGCAGTCGCCACCGGCCGACCCGCGGGCACCCCTTGGCCTCCCAGTCGTACATCGATGGCCTCCATGGTCTCCATCACCGATTGCCCACAGGTGTCCACGTGAGGCTCCAGAGCCCACGCTGACGCAAGCAAGATGAACCACGCCGGCCCCCGTGGCAGAGTGCGAGAGTTACCTTCCAGGCTGAAGGCGCGATGGCAGGATTGCTTCGAATCGATCGCCACGTTGACCAAGCGGTCTGCGCGCCGGCTGCGCACGCACTTCTCCCACCTTGCCGCGCCCTTCCCGCCTGCAACTCGGAGCCTGCCCAATAGCAAGCAGCGTCACGGACACGCGAGGACACTCGGTGAAACGGGGGCGCGTGATGCACGACATCTGGCAGAGCCGATCTCTGCCCCATCGACACCCAGACCACGGGCCGGCAGCCCGAGCCGATGGCGAAGCGTGTGGCATGAGGGGCAACGTTAGAGGGGGACTGGCTCAGGCGGGGAACATCGAGCTTGAATCGGCGATGCATCGCCGACAGGTCGGCGACAGGCCCCCGAGAGCGACTCCAACTGGCCCTGGGCGTGGTGGGCTACTGGGCCCCAATCGGCGACGAATGGGCGATTGATGGTCGATACGGCTTCCCCTGAGCCTATCCCCGAAAGATCCTTGTTGTAGGGTTTTCGGGCTCGGCCCCTCGGAACCCTCTCGACGAGGCGCATTCGACTTCGGATCCTCCGTAGTTTGGGCGAGTTTGTAAGCAGGGCGGACACTCACGCCCCACTGTTCAAGTTCTTTTGATGTCGATTCCCGCCCTACGTTGCCGTCGCTGTTTCCGCCGTACCTGTGCAAGAATATCCGCCCTACTTCTCTGAGACGGAAGTGTCAGGCCCTGCTTGCTCGCACTATTTGGGGGTGCATGTCCGACGCAATCTTAAGGCAGAAGAGCTGCCAAAGTAGGGCGGATCCGAAGTCCATTGGTATCCCATGTCCCCCCGACGCTGCCTGTGAGTGGAAGGGCTTTCCCGCCCCGGCGGCTCGCCGTCCGCGACGCCGCGACGCCAGCCCTGGTGCGCACTCTCCATGCTTGTGTTGCCTCGGACCCGGCGAACGCTCGAAAACCCTCTCCTCAAGAATGTCCGCGACGCCGCGACGCCAGCCCTGGTGCGCACTCTCCATGCTTGTGTTGCCTCGGACCCGGCGAACGCTCGAAAACCCTCTCCTCAAGAATCGGGGTCTCGCCTCCATGCTGGCTGCATGTTTGGCCCGGACGGCCACGGTCCATGGTAAAACAACACATAGGCGCACAAGGCCTTACTCCCACCTGTGCCCATGGCATCTTCACCGTTGCTGCTGCCAGGGTGCTTCGCTGAGGTAGTTTTGCTTCAGCATCGGCGAACGCGCGGATCGGTCGAAGCACGCGCTGGGCCACAGCGCAGCGAGTCAGGCACAATGAGCCCGAAGTGCAATGTCCAACACGGGAGCGAGCACTTCCAACCAGGGGCGCTCAGCCGCAGGCGGCGGCGGCTGCCAAGAAACCTGCGGCTGGACGCCACACGCGACACGCGACATGGGAAAACTCCCACACCAGGCACACTCCTCCCTCCTCACCCTCCTCCTCCTCCTCCTCCTCCTCCTCCTGCTCCTGCTCCTGTCCCTGTTCCTGCTCCTGTTCCTGCTCCTGCTCCTGTTCCTGCTCCTGTCCCTGTTTCTGTCCCTCCTCCACCGCCGCCGCCGCCGGCGACGACGACGGCGGCGACGGCAACGACGACGTCGGCGTCGGCGGCGATTGCGGCAGAGCGGCGACGGAAACGGCGGCGGCGACGGCGGCGGCGGCGATGGGCGCGGCAGCGACGAGCGAAAGCCGCCGAGCACGCTCGACGGGCAGGAGTGGGCCGCGCTCTCCTCTGCTCGTCGCTCTCGCACTTGGGCGGCGCCTTCCACGGGTCTATCACCGGGAGCTCGAGGCCCTTCACGAGGTCCATCCTCGCGAGGTGGAATCCACGCGACCTCCTCCTCCTCCGAGGTCGGGTGAGTCCTTGCGACCTCTCTGTGGTGAGCACGGTCGGGAGCTTTTGCTCAGCGTGTCGCGGCGGCGACTCCGGCGACACGCTGTGCCCTGCAGGCGGATAGCATGTCGCTCCGCTCCGCGGGAGGCTCGGGAAACGCTCGGGACGCTGACGCCCCTGGGAACGTGGACGTGGATAGCGTGTCGCGCCGAGACGTGGTGGGACAGAACTGGCGGCGCGACACGGCAAGTCAAATTTCGTCACCGTGTTGTGAACACGGTTCAAGGGCCCCCCGGGCCTGGAGTCCTGGGCGTTCTTGGGCGTTTCTAGGCGCTCTCTGGACGGCTCGCGGGGCTCTTTCAGAAACCCTGGGAGCGTGGTCGAGAGCCCATACCAGGCCCGTCCTGGTACCGTCTTCGGCGAATCTTGGGCAGTTTTGGAAGCCCTGGAAACGGCCCAAGGAACCGAGTTCAATGAA